GCAAGCGGGAACCGCCGATGCCCAACAACCTCCAGAATACTACTAATAGCACCGGAGTGCGCAGTCATGGAGACGAATACATTCTCATCAGTAGCGAAGACATCGTCAAGGAACCGGCGGAGTCGTGCATCCCGGTCCTGGTCTGACTCGCGCGTCTTCGCGTCCCATAGTTCATCGGCTTCGGTGAAGCCGGGTTCGATAATGTACTCTGGGTACTCGGCTGCGATGACCGATGCTGCTGAGCGCTTGTCACAGGTGTGTAGGCCCATTGTTTCGCGGAGGAGCTGGGAAGTTGAGGATTAATGTTAGATATTCATCACAGACATGGACTTGTCTATTACAGGCCTTTCAAAGAAGAAAGAAAAGGGGCAGGGAAAGAGCCTACCTCTTTAACAGTCGGCTTAAAAGGCTCAGTACCAGGAATAGGCAATCCAGCAAAAGTAATCTGCGCAGTAGCCAGACACCGGTTCAAGGGGCTAACATAATAAGACTGCGGCGCCGGAACACCCTTTTTAATCTGCTCGTCCCAAGCAGCGTGGGCAGTCTTTGCTTGGGAGATACCCTTCTCGGTAAGGCGGGCATCAACCCAGCTTCCGTGCTCGTCTCCGTCTAGCAGAGACCAGTACTCCTACACGTGGTTGTTAATAAAACTTCTATTCTGAGGAGATGTTGGGGCCATGGGTCCACAAACATCCCACGCCTTCGTGCCATAACGAGTCTCGGCGACGTTGTGGACGCCCTCGCCGTGCCGTCCAAGGAAGAGAACCTTGTAATTTTGGCGGGGGTTGCTGTCATTCAGTGTTTTGATGTGTTCACTAAAACGTTGCCATTGGCTGGTTTGGGGGGTTTCTGTTTCTGTTTCTGTGTCGTAGGACTTGGCGATTAGGCCGAAGTCCGATTTGACCTGTTTGGTGCATTAGATATTGGTGTTTTGAGTACGTCACGGCCTGGCTCCACCGGGCTTGCTAAGGCCTGTGTCCCTGGATTACTTACATAGTCGAAGGTGGCTGGATCAGTGGCCGGGTCATCCTGTAGGAAGTAGCCTGGGAGTGTGCTGTAGCGGTACTTCAATTCCGTCATGATGGTTGGAGAAGAAAGGGATGTTGGATGGACGGGAAGCTTTAGGGCTTTCGCGCAACGTGGGGCTGAGCTTGGCGGGACAAGCCAACTTGGGGATTTACTGCATACTGTATACGGTGGACTGTGGATACTTTGAATGGTCAATTGTAAATAAATTCGTAATTTTATCATCTGGGAAGATTTTAATCCCATACAGCAAGTCTGCTCTAAACGCCTTTCCTATATGAAACAATGGTATCATGGCTCATAGCCCAACATTCATCCGACCCATCAACCTGCAAAGCGCGCTCTGCCTCCAACATTGAGCGCCATGTCTCCATGTACACGTGCACCGTTCTTTATACGAACCAAGTGGTCCGCATACCGAGCAGATGTAAGCTATTCTTAGCAGACATTAAATGTCTACCAGAAAAAGATAGGCACTTGCTGATCATGTTCTCAGAAGAAGAGGCCAAGGACGCTGGCGAAAGCCAGACACCCGACGAGTTTTGGAGACCACCAGAAAGCACCAAAACAATAGTGGAAGTAATACCGCCAACACTTTCGCAAAGCGACCGAACGAGGCCGTTTCCAAAGATCGTTGGGATAGCAAAACTGCCATTCCCAAAGACTGTCGGAACACGAGAGAGACCGTTTCCAAAGACATCGGGAGCACCGCGCCGAGACGGCACGGGCAGCTGGTCCCTTGGTACTGATCGCAACCCGCCAGAGACAGGTGCGGCTGAACTGGCAACTGCCTCGAAGGCATTGTGCTGACCATCGTGCCAACGCACACCCATGACACCAGAGTTCCGGACTGCCAGTGGGGAGTGACGGAACCTTTGGTTTCCGGCAATAGCCCCTGGGATCGGTCCTTGAAGTGTACCTGGTACGCTTGTCGTTGGGATAGAGACATTGTCCGCGGTACGAGATGACCGAGTAGTCCTCGGCCGCACATCCAGTACTGGATGACAGACCTGGCCAGGGGTTGATTGGTTGGATGACGACTGTTGAAGTTCTCCCCCAGTGGAAGTGGCAACACCACCAATCGACGCTGGGGTCGATACGCGCCACCGCAGACTCGAATTGCCAGCGGGCTTCCGAGATACGGAACTTGACTGGGGTGCCAAGGTGGAATTGCATTGTCTTCCTTCGGGCAGAACGACATCGTGTCCCGGTGATGTACTCTTTGCAGCACTCTTTCCCGACGTGAGAATAATGTCGTGACCCGATGAGGTCTTGAAAACTGGTTTTCCAGATCCAAGAACCGTGTCGTGTCCCGGTGATATATTCTTCGCAGCCGTTTTCCCCGTAGAAAGAACAATATCGTGACCCGATGAGGTCTTGAACTTTGGCTTCCCAGATACAAGGACCGTATAGTGTCCCGCCGATGTGCTCTTTGGGGTCTCGGTTGTTTGAAGAATCCCTCTGGAAGATCGAGTCACAGCCGGCAGTCCCATCGATGGATCGTGTCCCGAAGAACTGCTTGCTGGCTTCCTGATCGCCTTGACGGTCGGGAGTACTTGAGGTGAGCTGAGGACTGGATCGTGGCCCATGGTTCCCGAATAGCGCGCCTCGGGGAGAATTGGCACATGAAGCATTGGTTGCCTTGGCCTTTCCTGGAACGCGGCATCTATCGGTACGTCGGTGACTCCGGCACGGGCAGCAGCCTTTTCCAGGCAGTTGCACTAGTCGCATGTTAGCGCATTGCTCAAAGAAGTTCCAGGACAGAAGGGTCAATGAAATGCTCAGAACTTACTCGCTTGTGTTGCTTCTTGTGCTTCTCACAAGCACCATACTTCCGAGCCTTGATGTAGTTCTCTCTCTGTGCCTGAGAACGAGGCTTCTGCTTTTTCGGAACGTTGGCGGTGGCGTTCATGTTGAGGTCAAGAACCATCTCCATAGCTCCCGGAGGGGATGCCCCGGAGACGGATGTGTTCTCCCGGCTTGGGCGCGCGGGTTGAGGGGATGTGCTTCCGCGCATGTAGTCAGACCAGCTTGGGGATGAGAAGCTGGTGTTGGAGTCCGAAGACATATCCAGATCGAGAGCGGTGGCATCACACAGACGCTGGAGATGCAATGCGATTGCTGCTTCGCGGCGCTTCTCCTTGATAGAAGCGACACGCGGGTCGGCGGCAGCCTGCGCCTCCACCAGATTCCGGAATGCCATTGTACTGTCATACGGGTTGTACCCCGAGACGGAATCATCGTCGAACAAAGGCGCAGCGGGGTCTGGCATGTACCCTCCATCCATCGAGTAGCCCATCATATCCTCCTGGGTCAGGTGGTAGTTGGTCATACCTGTCCAGGTGGACTGCGGGGGCTCGGAGGGAGAGGGAGTGAAGATGAAGCTCTGATCATCTTCGTAAGGTAGAGTCAAATCCTGGGGAGAGATGGTAGTTTCTGAGGGCGATACCTCCCCATACCCGGCAGGAAGGTCGAGGAATTGATCAAAGTCAACCCACTCGGTAGGGCTTGCATCCATCTGGGGGAAGAACTGATCTCCAACGAAAGCCATAACTGAAAAACCACGAATAGAATGGGTATCACTTGGGGTATCTAAGAATTGAAAAAATTGAGTGTCAAAGAGAGACGGAGGTAAGAGATGATAAGGGTCGGCAAGAGTTGGTCGTTGAAGCCGAGAGAGGAGTCTAGGTAGGTCGTAAAGAAGAGAGGCCTAAGGCTGTATAGTATGTATTGGCTTCCGGAGAAGGTGAAGAACGCCAGACCTGAGGCAACCGTTGATTCTATGTATGCGCTGGGCTGTCAGAGGCGCCTTTCCTCTTCGGGGTCCCCGACTCAGCACTAAACCCTTTTGAGACCCCGACCCCCCGCTTGATCGCTCTAAGCCGCAATATGACTCAACCCCCGGGGTACTGCCCCAGCCATACTGTTTAATATGGTGATCTAGGTACCTTGGGAATGTAACTATTACTATGATGTGTATCTTGCATCTCCAGATCTGCTTCGATTACATCTGTGATCATTTTATGATCTCTCGATGAGATGCTCAAGAATCAGAGGCTGTGTTTATGCATAGCCCACTTGATTAGCACTAGGGCTGACTGGCTGAGCCGTATGCATGTAGAGTGGGACAGTATGGAGTATCATTGCTTCAATTGCCCGATGATATAGCTCCAGATACCTCGGAAGATGTATGAATATGAACAATCTCGATCAATTGACTTTTAAGCCACATTCATCTGGGTCTTGACCCACTATCCATGACACACAGTTGCACTCGGAGCCTCGGCATGGAAAATTCTTTAACTAAAAAAGAAACACAGCTCGCGTTGGATTTGGCTAGTGGATAACACAGACCAACGTTTGATCAAAAACAAGGTGCAGAGGTGCATTAGGGCTATTGATAAGAAAAATGTGGATGTTGAAGACTTGGCTGTATATATATATCTTTGCTTGAAGCTAGTAGTTCAAAGATGAAAATGCAATCTATCAAGGTGTCACTATAAATGACTGAACGAGAGAGACTCATTTCTGTTCATAATTATAACATAGTTCATACTGATAATATAAATGTTGAGGTTGTTGGCTACGTGTGTGTACGCCCACGTGAGGAACATCGTGAGATTTGAGGTGGAGAGGAGCAGCTTAGTAAGGGGCAGACTGGAGGGCTCCCCAGACTTGCCCAGGTGTCGGTCGTCTGTCGTGGCTCGAAACCTCATTGAACAAGTTGTTTGTTTGTGATTGTCCCTCTCCCCCAACGCCCTTCTCTTCATCCTCCCGCCACCTTCATCAACCCCTCCATCTCATCCCCCGCCAGACTTCCAGATCCACCCTCGGTTCTGTTGTGGAGAGTAGACTACTCAACTGATTGGCACCGGGCAATGTTTTGAGGGCAAAAATAGAAAGCCAAAACCCCCCGTACAGTCAGCAGCGGCCGAACCGGAAAATCAATCACGTCACGTTGTCATTTCTCTACCATGGCCGCCGCTTTCGATGAGGAAGACCTCGCCATCCCCCTTGGCCCCTCCGACCGTGATCGTCGTCCAAGGGCACCTCCTAACCCCTCCGCCATGGCAATGCCCCCGCCATCGAGGCCGACCGTCAGGAATGAGGATCCAACACAGTCCCCCTCCACCACGCGGGACATGCAGCGCCTCGACCAGTACCAGACCGTGAAGATACTGGGTGAGGGCTCCTTCGGCAAGGTGAAGCTCGCCATTCACCAGCCAAGTGGCCGGCAGGTGGCTCTCAAGATCATCTCACGACGCAAGCTGCTCTCCCGAGACATGGTTGGTCGTGTGGAGCGAGAGATTCAGTACTTGCAATTGCTCCGACACCCTCACATTATCAAATTGTACGATTGCCCGCGATTCAAGTGCCATTGTCGTTTCATATGACTGACCCATAGCTTCCGAACAGGTATACCGTGATTGCCACCAAGACCGATATTGTGATGGTGCTGGAATACGCCGAGCGCGAGTTGTTCGATTACCTGGTACGAAAGGGAAGGTGTGGTGATGATGAAGCCCGGAAGTTCTTCCAGCAAATCATCTGCGCCGTGGAATACTGCCATCGACACAAGATTGTCCATCGTGACTTGAAGCCCGAGAACCTGCTTATCGACAGCCAGAAGAACGTGAAGATTGCGGATTTCGGGTTGAGTAATATTATGACGGACGGAAATTTCCTGAAGACCAGTTGCGGTAGTCCAAACTACGCGGCCCCGGAGGTTATCTCTGGCAAGCTTTACGCGGGCCCGGAGGTGGATGTGTGGAGTTGTGGTGTGATTCTCTACGTGTTGTTGGTGGGCCGATTGCCCTTCGATGATGACTATATCCCTGCCCTTTTTAAGAAGATCGCCGCGGGCACCTTCCACATTCCTGGATACATCTCTTCTGGAGCAGCCCGCTTGATCCGGTCGATGCTCCAGGTCCACCCTGTTCACCGAATTACCATCCCCGAGATCCGACAGGACCCATGGTTTCTCAAGAACCTCCCTCCCTATTTGCAACCACCACCCGAAGAGTTCATTGCGCCGGGTGTGGATCCGAAGAAGGTTGATAACGGCAAACTCGACCCCGCCAAGCCGGCGCCAGTCCAGCATAAGATACATCGCATTGCAGTCTCGAAGCTTGAACGAAGCATGGGCTACGGCAGAGAGGATATTGAGGAAGCGCTTAGACACCCTGAGCCCAGTGCAATCAAGGATGCGTTTTCCATCGTCGTCGAGAATGAGATGATGCAGACTAATTGTGAGATCTCAACTAGCCTTTTCCCCGCGGCCTTTCGCTAACAGAATTGTAATAGCCCCGACGGAAGATAATTTGTTGGCTCAGAATGTTTCTCAACAGAGGAGCGCTGCACCTTCGTCCGCAGACCGCACACCTGCTCCTCGAACCCAAGCGACTCCTGCCGCTGTCGTTAACAGAACTCAAAGTGTCTCTCGCCGTAAGCCATCGGAGGATGCCCAGCATGCAGACACCGAAGAAGAACCTCGCATCAGCCATGTCCGGATCCTCCCTACTAGCTTGCCATATGTCCATGACCAGCTCATGGAACAACGTGACCGAGAGCAAAGAGCTCGCCACGAAATGCTTGAGCAACGGCGCCAAGAAGGGGCCCATCTTGAACAAGAGGGCCATGGCGCTGCTTATCGGGACATGTCAGCCGAAGAGCAGGCTGCCACAGCCCGGGCACTGAAACCTCATTCACGCAGTGTTGTTGATTTGGACAAGCTGCGCTTCGAGCCACCAATAGGCCAACCCCTCGAAAAACAACCAAAGAGAAGCCGCAAGTGGCAATTCGGTATTCGGTCCCGGAACCAGCCCTATGAGGCCATGCTGTACCTGTACCGGGCAATTGCCGCCCAGGGTGGACTGTGGGATATCCAGCCCGTCGAATCAGGCACAAACATTGGCCCTGATGCAACTTCTTCCCCCGATAAGCCCAAACCTCTGCAGAGCAAATATCCAGACCTGCCCTCCGACTACTACATCCCGAAGGATCCTTGGTTCATCCGCGCACGCCTGCTTAAAGAAGGCATCAAAGCACCAGGGGCCTCCACCAGCGTCTACAACAGCCGCAGCGACCTAGAAGAATTGCGCCGCCGCTTCAACATCTCAGGCGTCTCCGCCCCGACAGAAGACAAGAGCAAAGACTCCCACGTTTCCTCCGCACCAGACAGCGGCCTCACTTCAGGAGCCTCCTCCGCCAACCAACAAAGCGGACTCCCAAACATTACCTACGGTATTTGGGTCTTCATCGATATCCAGCTGTACCAACTTGAAGAAAACAATTACATGGTCGACTTCAAATGCGACGGCTACCAGAACGTGATCCGTGCCAATGGCGACACCGAGTGGCATCCCATCAGCAAGCGTTTCATGAACAAGGAGAAGGAGTTCACCAGCCCTTACCCCTTCCTGGATGTAGCGTCTGATCTCGTGGCCCAGCTGGCTGTGGCGAGTTAGACCAGGCTTGACTATCACTATACTATCGTGGGGGATCTGGCTCTTGTTCATACACAAACGATCATGATACATACATTAATTTCCTGTTAATACTTCCTTTTTTTTGAGTGGCTGTGGTTCCGGTTGCATAGGTGCTTTTGGTTTCTGTTGCATTCGGGTGTGTGTCTTTTCCAGCAAGCGTGGTCTAGGTCTATTTGATGCGGTTTTCGCTCATTGTACGGAATATATTTCAATTGTCTCGCATGAAAATATTTGCTTAAACCTTTTTTCCATCCAAATAGAATAGCTGTCGTATATCCATATAGCTATATAGCTGGAAGCTATCCCCACTTTATACTGACCATTGTGTCGCCTTATGGAATGATTGTACTATAAACGGCCTTGGTACTTACTTCTACGCACTCGCTACATAGAACAGGAAATATGATATCGAAGTCTTTCATTCATTTGCCTCTAGCAACAATTGACCCTCGAAGAACCAGCTTGTCAGTCCTTACCTCCTCCGTAACCTCCACCACAGCCCCCAAAGCCCGCCATATCAACACTCTTTCCTGACAACACCAGCAGTAATGCTAGTAACCCCCCTCCCTCCCTCTCCTGTTTTTGTCTTTTGTCTTTTTTTCCTTCTTATCTTCCCAATTTTATGACCCTCCCATCTGTGTAATGCGCACGAAAGAAGGTTATCCGAAAATCCTGATCTAGTTGTGCATGGCCCCTTCCCACGAGACCCAATACCGACTGCCTGACAAACCAAGGTTGGGAATACAAAGCCGTACCACTGTGACCGGGTAAACCAAGATGACCAAAGAGAAAGGATTTCACCGGCATCGAAGACGAAGCTGTTGAACTCGACCAGCTAAGCAACCAAGGCGCTCTTCCAAGCTAGCGCTTGGGATTCCGGGGCTTCTTGACAGAACCATGGCTGGACACCCGGTTCAGCAAGTCCATGTACACCCGCTGACTACGTCGTCGCTGGCTCTCCGAGTTTCCGCTGTTGGTCCCGGCTCTGCCAACCCGAGATTGATAATGGCCCTGAGTCTCCTCAACAGCAGCGGCATCAACGGGAACATCTGGAGTGTGTGCGGCAGGCTGAGTATCGGCAGGGCGGGTCTGACTACCCAGAGTACCCTCAACATCGTCCAACTCCACAACCCGCTCGTTGTCTGGGATGTCGGGGTGCTGAATCTCTTCCTTAACTTCCTGCTTGCGGGTCGATCGCTGGCGCAGCGCAGCCTCCACAACCCAAGGTTTGAAACTAGGCAGAATCTCAACATCGGGGAAGCGGACACGGCTCGTCTGGAGACGTTGGTTGTTCTTGAACCCAGTCGTCTTCACAGGGCGCTTGCGAGCCTTGCCAGCGGCGTGGCCGGGGCTCGTCGGAAGCGAGAGCTGCTCTGCGCGTTCTTCCTTGCGCAGGTCGCCGAGGTAAGTACGGACATGCTCGACGAGCTCGCGGATGTTGTCAAAGGACTTTGATTTTCCAACCAGCTGGCGAAGCCACAAAGGAACCGGAGCATTTATCGCTGTGGGATGCTTGCGGCTCCGCTGAGGAGCCGCCAAAGCCCGGGAGGCACGGGTTTCCTTGCGGGTGGTCGACGCAGTAGTTCTGGCTCCTGCAAGTTGCTCGTTGCTGTCGGCATCGGGTTCGTTGTCAACACGGAGCTGCTCACGGCGGCGAAGGATGAGCTCGAAGGTGTCAACTCCGCCCCAGCGTTCCATACGGTTAAGAGACTCCAGGAGAAGGTCGCACTGGGTGAAGGGCCATTGATCGGCCCGATACCGGGCTCGCTGGTAGTGCTTCCGGCAGTAGTGCACCCAGACGTACTGGGGAAAGAGCTTGGTCGAGGCTTTGTTTCTTCCGAAGACGTGCGAGACGACCTTGCGCCAGTGCATGCCATCTGGCGAAGGTCCCATCCGGCATGGTGCAGAGAATTCGCACGCCGGATTCTTCTGCTGGTCTTCTGGCTTCGCGATTTCCCGTCCTTGTCTGTGTTTGGGAGGTCCCTGGTGGCGTGGAGTCGAGGTTGTGGTTGGCACAGAGCTGTCCTCGTTGACAAATGGCGGCGGTACGTCAAGACGATTATCCTTCATGAGGTTCCTGGACTCAGGACTTCTGCTCCGAGCCCTTTGAGGGGGATGATCCACCCTCGACCGGTACTCAGGATTGTAGGGGTTCAGGCGCTCATTCTCCTCCCTCAACCGAGCTCCCTGTGCAGGATCATATCTGCCCCGAGTGACACGTGCATTGGTGTAAGGGACAAGGTCAGGGTGTGGCCGAGGGAAGGTAGTTGTAGGAGGGTAGGCGAGGGACGGCGCATTTGAACCGCTCAAGACTCCCGCAAGAGGCAAAGTAGGCCGTGAAAGAGGTGCGTAGGCTGGCTGCTGGGGTGAACTCTCACTAAGACCGAAAGAACCGAGAGAGAAGGGTTGATTGAGGCTATAGAAGAGGACTAAGTTAGTAAAGGTTCATTTAAACAATGTAGACTTGCTAGACAAGCCGAGTCAGGCTTGAGAAGCGAAGAGCAAGTGATGAATAGATGAAGGGCGAGTGAAGTGAATCAAAAGGACTGTGAGATAAGAGCAAGGAAGGTATCAGGTTGCTTGCTTTGTATGCTTACCTGTCAAGAGTCTGAGGACCGTGGAGCGCGCTGCGAAAGCTGATGATAACTGTTAGCAGAGATCCTTTCAAAAGATGAGATAGTATAAAGAGGAGCGAGAAAGGGTAACTGAAGACAAGAAACGCGAAATGATCGGAGATAGAGCATGCAATGAAGAACAGTCTAAGGTAATAGCAATGTCTCTTGCGAAGCCTATTGAGCAACATGATGCCTGATAGGGCCAAGTCAAAATTCCGACCACCGTTGGTCGTTGATCCAGGTCAGTGCCACTTTTCGAGAGCACTGCCGATGCTGGAGTCTTGCCATAGTTCTATCAAAGACCATGAGTCTGAACAGGCTTCGCGAGACTAAGTCCTTGAAACAGCCATATTGCCTTCAATCTTTCTCGGGCCGTATGTCGACAGGTGGATAATCAAGCCAAGAAAAAGGGAAGAGAGGCATAACATCCCCATGCAAAAGAATGATAAGAAATAGGCGGACATATTTACCCAGTGTGCTCGGTAGAAATATCGTCTGCATTGATCGCCGTAAAGCCCGGGCGCCTAAGCACGATGTATTAGCAGTGATATTTAGACCGCGATGGTATAATTTCCAGTGCAAGAATAGACCCAAGGCAAGGTGTTGAGGGGTTGCCAAAGAGCGTAGAGTAGGGGATATTCATGTGTGATGATGGAAATGGGAGAGTATGCCTCACGAGACATCCAGTGTCAGGTGCCAGATGGGATAGGGCTATCCCAATATCATCGGAGATGTGACCCGTAAACAACACAAACTCGCTACGTTAAGGTGGCACGTTGGAACGAGATAGATGACAAGAGGGACGTGATGAGAGGGTAGAGGATGGATAGGAAAGCGTGATGGGATATATGAAAGCTTTGATGTCTTGTGTACATACACTGCTGCAGACTGACTTTGATGGTTGCCCTCCGGGCTGCCAGGACCAGAGTTGGTCTGACGCGGTAGATCCATCTGTGATGGATGAAAAGGGTTAGAGATTGATCTGCAGATGTCTGATGATGGATGAGTCTCATACCGTGATGCAAGTCTCAAGCAGTCAAAGAAATGGAAGGATGAGCTTGAGAGATGGATGATGGAAGACGAGGATAGGAGAGGAGGAAGATGAATTGGATAGGTCTTTGGGTTTTTATATTGGATGGTGTTTGCTTTCGCTTTCCCAAGGTGTGCTTGCTCGAGGTTAGGGATCTGGGAGGGAATTTGCCTACAAACTACGAAGATTGGACTTGATTGCTTGAATATTAGTTGTTTAACAGTAGGACAATATAGCATAGAGTGTCTTGTCCCTTGACATTTTACTACGTAGTTCATAGTGATATAAGAGCTAGGCTATTGGCAGTTCACACTGCTAAGGCCTGAAAAGACGCATGAGGCTTTTAAATGTCATACAGCTTGAGTAACAGTGCAAGAGCATGGTTTTAAGGAAGACATTCAGCCTCAGAAGCAGAGGAAATGAGCTGTGCTCAAGTTCTCCCTGTAGGCTTTCAACAACAGCATATATGGATGCCGAAGAGGCACATAATGGAAGATACAAGCTTACAAGTAGAAAAGGCGGCTCACGCGCTGTCGTTAGAGTTATTCAGGGCTGGTGGTTGAGCCCCCCTTGTCCTGCTTCAGGTATGATCTTCAAGCAGTACAAAGGATCTTACCCGCTTGTCATAAACGGAAGTCCAAAATTGCCAGTTGGAGGGCCGATGGCTTGACACAGGCCGGACAGGTAAGTAAGATACATATCGGTAAATACGATCACTCTGTTAGTCCCTGAGACCAATAGATGGGCACGACACCAAAAAAAAAGCCCACCGGGAGCTCCGACGTTCGGGTCGAACTCGGGCTCTCACTGTACGGTACGGCCAATACAGTAGCTGCAGTGTTTTACCACTCAGCTATTTCAGTGGGATGTTAGAAAGTAGGGGTAAAAGTGGTTGATAGAAGGTTGTTTTTGCGTCCCAATTAGGAAGGTAAGGCTCCACCCATATATACCACCACGTACCTGTCTACTGTGTATTAATCACGTGCTACCCCACATAGAGCTTGAAAAGCAGGATCTAGAACATTAACCATACAAGCTACAGGGCAGGCGATATCAAGCCACCCAAGAACTGCGCAAAAAAGTACGACATTCTCAAGGCTACAACAGAAAAAAAAAAGTTTTTTTAAGAGCAAGTAACAAGAAATCAAGATTCATTTCCACAAGGTATCATCGGCTTATTCCGTTATGTGTACATCACCAAAAGATGTAAAATCTCACAATCCGAATCCAAAAACCCCAAACAAACGCCATCTTTGCCGGATATCGAGAAACAAAAACAAATGCAATCTGAAAAGCAGAGTTGAAGAGATCCCGAACCGGGATATAAGATCAAGAAATCACCCACGAAACACGTCGCAGTACATAAGTACATAAGTCATAACATGCAATATCAGAAAAAAGCGTTTTAGCTTGCGTAGCCCATAGAAGCTGATGACCTGGGTACGTATTTGCGGATTGCTCCACGACCAGGACTACAACCCGCCGAGCCGATATCGATTGTACTTAGTTCGCGGCTCAAGGCGTCCATGCGGACATTACCGTTAGGATTCCCGGACATGACAGGGTAGCTTGGGCTGCCGTGGGTGATTGGCACCTTTGAAGGGATTGGGGGTCCTGTGTTGTAGTCGTAGAGTGGTGAGCGAGCGCTAGGCGATGGAGAGACGGAACCTCGAGAGGAGCGGGGACGCTCGGTTGATGTTGGTGTGCTGTAGCCACGGCTGTCTGTGTAGCTATCGGAGCGTCCATGTGCGTAATCCATGCGGGGTGGAGTGCGGACCATGGATCCTGGGCTGGCGTGTACGTGTGCTGGTGTGTACTTTTTCGGTGAGCGGTCGTATGTGGTCTCTGTTTTGAAGCCTACACGAGGGGGCCCTGGTGCGCGGGAGGTGGTAGACTCGTTTCCTCTTGATGTTGGGCGGGGCGAGTGCTTGAAACGGATAATGACCTCGGGTTTGCGGTTCTTTCTTTCTGGTTCGGGGGCCCAGGTATCGGTGGGGAGATGGTCTGACGGATCAATCTCACGTCCATCGTCCCCGATAATTGGCTGATCCACGTCTCGTGGAGGCTCGCTATGAGCGCGCACCAGAGAATCTCTGGAGTGGGAGGGTGAGTCATAGCCTGGGGAAGGGTCTCGGCTGGGGGGACGAGATGTATGAGGGTTGAGGGTGCTGTAAGAGTCGGGTGAGAAAGGGATTGAAGAACTACCACGGCCATCTGAAGATGAAGGTCGCGGACTGACGGACTTCCTCGTCACTGCGCGCATATCAGGGCTCACAGATCCAGATCCACCTCTGCTGGAGGATGGTCTCTCAGCAATGGGCCGTGGAGACGTCTGTAGAGGGTGAATAGGAGCTTCGTAGAGAACAGGTGCTGAGACAGGAACCGGTGCAGGTACCTCAGACAGCATCATCTCATCGTCCCAGTGTGAACTGCGTCTCCGAGTCGACCTTTCAAATGCTGCTCTCTCGGATGCATCTTCTGGTTCATAGCCAGCAACCAAGCTTGCTGGCACGGCCGGGGAATGCCCCATTAGGTGGGATGGCGTAGACATAGATGATGGCAAGTTGGTTGCTGGTGGTCGTGAAGGAGTTTGCTTGGGGATATAAGGCACGTAAGACTGTGGGGAAGTTCTCGGGGCGCGCAACTGAGAATGCGACTCTCGAGATCGGTGAAGTGGTGGTGGAGGTGGCATCATCCCATCCTCATCTTCATCCTCAACTCGGGGTTGCATTGTGGCGTATTCTGGGTGGTGTTCAGGACGGCCGGTTATTTGGAGAGGCCTAACAGAGTGCGGGTGGTATCTAGGGTCATCCACTGGGCCCGAAAACGAAGCCGACCTAGGGAAGTCTTGAGCTGGCAGCTCATATGCATGTGTCACAGGCCCATAAGCCGCAGGATCTGGGTTGTAGCGAGGGTCTTCAACATAGTGATCTTGATGTCCGTGGTTGTACATTCTGCCCCGCGAATCTGCCTCATACACCGGCCCTTGCCTAGCTAACCCGTAGTCCCGAGAGGGTGGCTGATCATAATCGGACTGGCTCCGCGGTTGCTGAGGTCGCGAGTCATACGTGTCCTCGAGGGATTCCTGGGCATGATATGGGATTTCATGAGTGGTTCTTCGTGAGAGAGGCGCCACGGCTTGCTCTTCCCATTCCTGCGTGTAAGTATCAGCACCGTCGTATCCACCCCGAGACGGGGGCAGAGACTGGGGCACGGGAGATGGTGCACGATACATGGGTTCCTCGTATGCAGGCTCCGCGAGCCTCGGGGCGTATGCTAGAGGCTCTGGAGGAACAGGCATGGAGTTTGCATGCTCAGGAATTGCCGGTCTGGACGGAACTGGGTGCTGAAGAGGTGGAGGCGCAGAATGGGCCTGCTCAAGCGGCGCTGGTCGTGCTGGAGCTGGAGCTCCAGGTGGGCCACTGGGCAGGGGACGACGCTTGACGTCCTTCAATTGTCGAGGACCAGACACTCCAGTGCTGCTAGGTGCGCTGGGGATCTTACCCTGGACCCTGTCCGCGGCTTCTTGTCTGCGTTCAAGCACGGCTTCATCTTGCTCTCGCGTGTCGTAATAAGTCATTTCAATTCGAATATCTCCTGCATATTTTCCACGGCATTGCAATGGGTGCCAGTGGTCGTTCTGGCTTCCACCAGGAATGATCAAGTTGTGCAAGTCGATCCAGGTCTCACCAATCATGTCGGTCTTCTTGTCGTCATTGAATACCGAGACCTTCAATTTGAAGTAATCTGGGGATTCGTGTACGGTGAATCGGAGCTCCGAGTCCCTAAACAATCGTGTAAGCCCACATCCCCTCCGCGATTTGTTGCTTCTAGCTTACCATCGAGGGGTCTGTCCTCCCCGCAGGTCTGTTTGTGTTTTCTTTGCTTCCTTGCCCAATCGTGCTGCACAGTAAGGGTTCTGCTTTCCCATCGTCTTGCGGTTTGGAAGGTTCTTGGCGCGATCAATGATCGCAACCAGGGTACCAATGATAGGGCCATCGACCGAGATATCGGCGAAGATGCCGGCGGCATGGTTGACCTTGGTGTGGGTGAGTTTGGTCGACATGGCGTTTGAGTCCCAGGTGTTCAGAAAGACTCAATCACCCCAGTGTCTCAGGAAGTGCGAGAGAGAAGAAGAAAAGAAAGAGAAAACATAGAGCTGGAATGTCTACAGTATTGGCGGTGGCTGGGGTGTATCAGATCGGGGGGTCTGATTGGTTGTAGCCCCTGGCGCCGGCGTCTGGACTCGGGTGTTTTCCATACGTGACCTTACATGTACATCACAACAATGAACTACTGTGCGTCACTGCATTGATGCTTCACATCGTATTCCTTATATCTGGTCTACTATTGCATATATTCACTTATTCACTTATTAGCAACACACATGGGTAATTGTAGCTTCAATTTCTTCACACCCAACCCCTGTCAGGCACTTATGTGGATCTCGATCCCCAGCCACCTCCGATTCAGACTTGCATTCCCGTAGTGGGACAAGGAAAACACAGCGATTGGCAATCAGGTCCAGATCAGATCGTCATAGACACTTTACAGTACTTCTTGAATCCGGTTTCAGCTGTGAGGTTCTATCAAGCTGTCGTGGTTCCCCCCCACCTTTAGGGTTGAGCTGCACCCCGATGGATCTGCTACCCCCCACCGCATCGCCATAGCGACCACTGATTGAGCCAGACATACAGGCGTAAACGTCTTGCTGTTTATTGCATATCCACCTTGCGATCTCATACATTGTCAATATTACTGAGACAGTATTTTTTTGCTATACTTATCCCCTGCTCAATATACAATCGTATGATTTAATTATGTTGCCTACCTCACTGCCCCATTCCTTTCATCCTTTCATCATTTAGCCCCCACGATTACTATTATTAACAGGGTGGAAACCTGCACAGATCTCGGCTGTGCGAGGCTGGAAAGTCAATGGAAAATGACCTTGCCGGAAATTTATATACTTTTTTGGACCAGCTGATCTCCAAGGCGGGTCTCTCGTACCGAGCACGTTGATGTGGACATGGGTATCCTGGGACGAACTATGTCAAATGTCAGCTATATCACATAGACGCTATGCAGGAGTGAGATAGTGAATTCGGGATGCTGTAGAACAGGTCCAGACTTTTGGAAAGGCTGAGAAGGCCAGAAAACTATGAATGATTTAGCACTTTTGTCCACAATCCAACAGCCCAAGCATGAAGTGAATGTGCTGGGCGTGGAATGTTCCAAGGTCGAGCACTAAGTTTCTTATGTTTCGCAAATGCCGATGTGAATGGTCATATTTGGGCTGAAGTTTACCGCAGGTTCATATGTTGCTCGCTTATGTTTTCCATCTATACTTGCAAGGTTTGGTCTGGAATGGGGAGAACGGGGGATGATATTTCTGCCTTGTGGCCTGAGGCTGCCAATTTACCTGTTGCAGCCTAAGGCCTCAACAGCTACCGCCACCATTCCCGATTGGGCCAGACGAACTTTTTTGATCGGCAGAAAAAAGATGGACTTCATGAACTTCACGATAACAAGATATTCGTCGGGGGCCCAGCTCTACTATTAATTGCTCCAACCTAATCACCTTCACTCTAATCTTCTCCGTCCGACTGCTCTTTGATACACACTGCCACCATGGCAGCCCCCGTCCTGCCTCTGCAACAGGTCAAGCTCGCCTCGCTACCCTCGACGCAATTAACGCCGGAACAGCAATACTGGCGCACCTTCAAGAACCCGCTTCTGATCCCATCGCCAGCCAATGGTCCGGTAAATCTCGTCACTCAGCCCGCTGTTCCTTCCTCCGCTGCGGCCTTCCCATCTCTTACACAACCGCCCGATGTCTTCACCGTGACAACGGGTGCCCGAGTCCAAATCTACTCCATTCGCACTCGGAAACTCCTACGGACTATCACCCGATTCGATGATACTGTGCGGGGCACCGACGTTCGTCCCGATGGCCGTGTCTTGGTGACTGGTGACGACACAGGTTCCGTGCAAGTTTTCGATGTCAAGTCGCGCGCTATTCTGAAGACATGGAAGGAACACAAGCAGCCCGTATGGGTGAGCAAGTTCTCGCCCAGCGATCCCACCTCCGTTCTCACAGCCAGTGATGACCGCACTGTCCGTCTGTGGGACTTGCCCTCGCAAAACAGTGCGCGCACCTTCGTCGGCCACAGTGATTACGTGCGCAGTGGTGCATTCATGCCCGGCTCAATGGCCTCTTCTGGTCTTGTCGTGTCAGGTTCTTACGATCGTACTGTGCGCCTATGGGATCCTCGCGTGGCGAGCCGTGCCGCTATGACTTTCAAGATGGGTGCGCCAATCGAGAGCGTCCTGCCCATGCCTACGGGCACTACAGTTCTGGCTGCGGCTGATAATAAGATCGCCGTGCTGGATATCGTGGCTGGTAAGCCATTGCACATGATTCAAAGCCACCAAAAGACTGTCACTGCTCTTGCGCTGGCTTCTAATGGTGAGCGTTTGCTCAGTGGTGCGCTCGATGGACACATGAAAGTCTTTGAGACCACAGGGTGGAACCCTGTCTCTGGTTCTAAGTACCCCTCGCCCATTTTGTCTCTGCGTGCGATCACTTCTGGAACCGAGTATGAGGACAAGCACATTGCTGTAGGTATGCAGTCAGGTCTGCTATCTATCAAGACCCGTCTCTCTGGTCAACAAAAGGCCAAGGAGAAGGAGCGCCGGAAGGAAATGGCTGCCCTGCTGGAGGGTAAGCTGGAGGAGCACGACCGGGAAGTCGCAAAGAAGAACAAGAAGCTCCGCGGCTCTGGATGGGAGAAGCGTCTGCGTGGACGCGATTTCATCGGAGAGGGCGTGGAAATCGTCATTGAAGGCCAGGACAGCAAGAAGCGCAAGAGAGAACAGCCATGGGATCTCGATCTCCGCAAGGCACGCTACTCAACTGCGCTGGACACCGTTCTTGCCTCTTCCGACACCACCGCCCAACTCACATGTCTCACTGCTTTGCGCCACCGCTCCGCCCTGCGCGCTTCTCTTAAGGACCGTGACGAGGTTACTCTCCAGCCGGTTCTTCAGTGGGTCCACAAGAGCATCCGTGAGCCCCGTCTGGTCAACCTCAGCGTCGAGGTCGCCATGAACCTCCTCGACATCTACTCTGGCAACCTCGGTCAGTCAACGCAAGTCGACAAGATGGTGCAGCGGCTTCACAGCCGGGTGCGCAATGAGGTCGAGATGGCCCAGCAAGCATGGCAAACAAAGGGAATGCTCGACATGCTAAAGGCAACCTGATTCGTTCCGACATATCACAAACTGACTTGGAGTTCGGGGTGTCTGGGATTTACACACTCGGTGTACATGGCGGGCCATCAAATTTTGTACAGGATTTGCATAGAATAAAAAAAGTCGACAGTATTTACAAGCATTCAATGACCATGTATCAAAATCATATCCATCCCCAAACCTCGCCTAAACCTGAACACAACTCTCCAATTTCGAAAAACCCCCAGCAGGAGGCTGCAACCAATTCCGCTCATCATATTCCCACCCCTCCCCACCCTCAATAACATGAAAGGTATAAGCAAACCGGCTCCGGTCACTAGTATTCTTCTCACTCTTATGCAACACGTTCCCATGAATAAGCACCAAAGACCCAGCCTTAATGTCCAAAATCTCCAAATCCTCGTCAGAAGGCTCAGAAACCTTCTCCTCCTCCATCCCCCTCGGCAATGCAGGACCAGTGTTCTCAATAAACTCCGTGCCCCCATCCCCCTTCCTCACAAATCGCCGCTTAATATGACCCCCCTTACGCCCGGTATGCGAACCCTTCCACATCCCCAACGTACCATTCTTCGGGCTTGCATCTTGCAACGCATACCACCACCCAACCGCCGAAGGCGGATCCGTATACAAGAATTCAGAATCCCGATGCGAAGGAACCGCACCACCAATAGAAGGTTGTTTGAGAATAACCATAGACTGCAGCACGCGCGGATCCGTAAAGCCTAGCGACTTCGCAACGGCAGCATTGCGCTCATTAAGTGAAACAGCCTTGAACGGCGGCGATAAAGTGTGTAGAGAATGCCCGATTTTGTTAACGGCAAGATTCTTGGGTTTTAGAAGTGCTGCACGGCCGGTTACAGGGTCTGGCTCTGTGCTGAAGGCGTCGGGCTCGAAGAAGAAGCGGATTTTGTCGCCTGAGTTTAGGAAGTAGTCGTCGCCAACATGGTTGGTGCTTTCATCTATGCCATCCCCCGTTGTGAATTTCGTTAGGGGGTGGGTGTCTAGTGGGAAGTCGCGGAGGAGGTTGTTTGTTTCTGTTATTAGGGTGTTTGTTTCTGTTGGGGTGAGGTAGTCTGGGAGTACTAGGTACCCGTTTTCGCGGAAGGAGGCGACTTGGGATTCAGTGAGGCCGGACATGTTGGGGTCTGGGTTGGTTCCCAGGTGACGTTCTGGAAAACAGTGAGGGGAGGAGCGGGGAGAGACGATAAGCGATTTTGATATTGAACTGATTGGCTGGGGTCCGTGCGCCGATATCTATAGGATGCTTCATGTCCGTTCAGCTGTCATTTTGGTTCGTGCTTCACACTGGGATATTGCTCCAGTCCTCTCAGTTCTACCGATAGGTCTTCGAGCGTTCTAGCCTTCCCCCAAGTCCAATCAAAGCCGTCGCCATAGGAGGCAATGATGCAAGCGGCAAGTAGTGCTTGCCACAAAACATCAACCACGGACTATATAAATATATCGAAACAGCAAGCAAGAAACAGAATCAAAGGTTAGCATTTATCTGCTGTACATACATTACGAGCCCATGCAGCGCCGGCTCCGCATCTGCATGAAGCAAAACACAACCCAAATAAAACAAACATAACACCTAATTCACCAACAACAACTTCTGGCGGAAGTGGACCGGATCAACCTTTTTATCTCGCTCATCCACTCAGCGCCCCGTTCACGAAGATGCCCGACTCTTTCACAAGTTCCTCCTCATACTTCTACAGTTCCACAACCAACGGCAACGACGGCCAGGCCACAACCGGTCATCGCTATGCAACCACCTCGCACACCGAGCCCGACGGCACAACCATCGTCCGCACAGCCCACCAGGACCTCGGCCAGCCGGCTATGATCGAGGAACGTCGGTACGATAGTACCGGCCAGGAACAGCTCGCGCTGCGGGAGCCTGCAGGTGTGGGTTCTACCTTGGCGGGAACTTCGGCTGGTGGTGTGAGGCGGATTACGGATGTAGATGAAGACGATGAGACGCCGACGCCGACGACACCTACGACGCCTGGTCTTGTTTCGCATTCTGGGCTGATCCTTGCTGGCGGCGCGGCGGCTCAGTTGCTTGATGGTGATGGAGATGATTTTGGTATAGGTGTGCAGCCCGGGGATAGCCGCTTTTTTGATCCTATGACTGATGCTTATGACCAGCTTGGCGAGTTTGAAGTTGACAATGTGACGGGGCATCATCGAAGGACGATTGGTCGTAGTACAAGGAGGGATGTTGAGTCGAGGCAATTTGAGAATCCTAGTACTGGTGCACGGGTGCCAAGACAGACTGGGTTTGATGTCAACAAAGTGATCTAGGACTGGGTGGGATGATGTAACGATGTGAATTGCTTCTTATATACTCAAAACACAAAATACAATCATTTGTCGAGAGTGAATGCCCAGAAATATGCAACATAAATCCTGAAATTGGATCTTTTGAATCCCAATTTGGTTTGCATGGAATGTGCAGCTCAACCGGTCTCCCAAAGATGCAAGGAAGAGAAAGACACTTGAGTGCTACAGAATGTAGACAGGAAATTCTCTGTACAAGGGGTTGATGCCGAAAAGAGGCCTGCTCTGTAAGGCAGATGTGAAAGTCTGTGGAAAATGTATGGGGACCGGAAACATGTTCATGGAGGAATTTAGTCGCGCAACCGTAGACGCCCCTCCGTCCAGCGGCTCCGCGCCTTCTCCCACCATCCAGGAAGCTCATAGGCACAGTGACACACGATTCCAGCAATAAAGCCGATTGCATCGTTCTTGAAACCGACCAGCATTCCAACTGTAACCATCATGATAGTCCAGCGACGGCTTCGTTCCTCGTCTGTGAGGATAGGACCCAGATGCTGCTCAGCACTGGCCAAAAGACCGGCCCCTGCCTGGTTGAGGTCCCGAGCACCAGTAGTGTTAAGACTTTCTCCAACGCTAAGCAGCTCCACACCAGCGGCGATAACCATAACACCGAGGAAGGCAGAAGGGAAACGTTGCAGAAGATCAACCAACGTCTCGCCAAATAGGAGGCCAATAATAAGCTTCAGCACGCCAAGGAATATGACACTTGCGCCGGAGCGGGCGCCGAACCGATACTGAGCCGCAAGTCCACCAGAGCCATGGCAGACAGGCATCGCACCGAACCAACACCCCAGTAAGTTCATACCAGCCACACTAATCCCAATATGGGTGATGGATGGGGTGCGCACGTTTGGCAGCAGGTCATGAGCAAGATGAACAACTGCAACAATGGAGTTCAACGTCGTCAATGGAATCTGACCAATACCTGCATCCACAGCACCAACACGCCATTGATGTGGTGTTGGAATCAGAGCAAAAGGATGCCAAACCTCGAAGCCGGGCATATGTCCCGCCAGCGCGGTGCGGATAATGGCAAATACCAAGCCCAGCACAAACACGGCGAGGGCATACGGCACTCGACGAAATACATTAGTCAACACAAGCGCCACAAAGGCAGCGATTGCCCAGAGACGGTTATCCGCCCAGGACGGACTGATCCACCCCAATGGGTGAAGCATGTTCCCACAGGCGGCGATGATCAGAGACAACCCCGCGCCAACCTGGATACCCTTGATAACAGGGATAGGAATAACATTGGCGAACCAATGTAGGATTCCGGTTACGCTGAAGACCAGGATACAAGCACCGACGAAGATGCCCGCCGCGGCGATCGAGCCGTTTGAGAAACTACGCGCGATGGCGACGGCGGCGATAGCTTTCATCGGCTGGACTGGTAGCGGGATTCCGAAAAATAGACCTGTTAGTATGTTGAAGACTCCCGAGAAGACTAACGTGCTGGCGAGGGAGATGGTGCCATTCGCCGCTAGGGCGATGGCGATTGGTAGGAATGTTCCCAGATCACCGAGAGAGCCTGAGATCTCGGAGACATAGTGGTGTTTGAAGGTGCGCAGGTTATAGGCGTTTATCTCTCGTAGGGATTGGACCGCCATGGCTGGGGAGGTGTAGTGGAAGATCGGGAGGACGTTGGGAGCCAAGCCTGTTTATCAAGATCGGAGGCTGCCGAGCCCCGCACTTACCCGCAGCCAAATCCTGTTTAGACTATTCCTCTTTCTCTATTAATTGCCCTTATAGGCTTAGTATAGAGGCATAGCAGTGTACCCTGCTTTCCAAGGTTATTAGCTATGATGGCTAATTATGTCATTAATATATGACAGTGCCGCTTTTCTCTATATGCAGGCAATCCACACGTCAACGTTCTTCCTGGGCTGCGCAGAGACAGGCCCTAACCTCAAGAGCCTTACAACGCTGCTTGAGTTTATGGGCAAGCAAGTTATTGCTTGTGGCCAGCCGTCTCTTGGCCTGTCCGAGAGACTTTTCAATAACTATCTGTCTGGGGAACAGCGTAGGAACCACAAGCATTGATAGGGGACAGGTTGTATATGTTCGCGTGCCTCAAGAAAGCTCATCATTGATCCATGCGCCCTCGTCCATTCCACCCAATTTGCCCGTCCTGATGGCAGACATATTCCCCACTGGATATTTCTGTACTTCTCGCTTTCTAAGCACGTTATCGGCAGAGGAAGCTGAATCAAGTGCCACGGCTGTGGTTTGGTGCGGCCCGGTTGGAATCTGCGCTATTGCAACCGCGTTGACACGATAAGATACCGTCTGTGCCATCGACACGGTCCCGGAGCACCTTGCAGAAGCAAGTGTCTAGGTGCAAAGCCGCTGTTGCTCACTGAAGATCCGGGCGCGGCTATCGAGGCTGCGACCGATCGACGCGGTGCGGATGATGTGCTCGAGTTGGTGGGAACACTTGATGGATGCCATGCGCCTCTGCCTGGATATTGTGCGTCCGTTTGGTAGTATCGGCAGCGTGGGTGTTCAGACGGAAACAGTTGCCCTCGATGGTCCGGTGCTATACGGTAAAAATGGGACTATCGCATGGGGGCGGTGTCCTGTGCGTGGTATCTTCGAAAAGGCCCTTCAGACACTGGGCAAGGTACAAGACAAAGTGTCCTTCTTATGTGAATACTTCATGAAGCTTGAAGAGGCAGCGGAGGCATATCGGTTATTCAATGACCAGAAAGTCCAAATGGTCCTCTCAAAGAATGTACAAAGTACAAATCAAGACTTGGGAGCTAGGCGAACTTACTCCTTGTAATATCCAGTGGAGTGCCCAGAAGCATAATGAATCCATTGTTAACGATGGAAAGCATCACAGCTTCGAGGTTGTAGCCCGTATGGATGCAAGTCTTGCTGCACAACTAGCCCGGTCTGACAATCTCATTTTCATTGGCCAAGCAAAACAAACCTCTCTTCTTTCTCGTAAATACTGTAAGTTGACCACGTTACTTTCTTTTTGGGTCTGATCAGATATGCTAGAAAGTCAATGTCGCATTGAATCTTGCCAAGAAAGATCAATGCACTAGGATGCGAACCGGTTGCACTTCAAGACTGCAATCTGAACCAGCTGAAGGACAGGTGCATGTCTCAGGCACTGTATGATTCCTAGGCAAGGGCTGTATACAAGTCGCTGCTGGCGAATGCTTTCTTGCGCCAAGGCGGGCTAAAGACGATCCGACGTAGATAAGGAAAGGGAGCTGAAATTGTCAAAGGATTGCACGAATGGGGGATGATGTGAAATTAAAGAATAAACCCCTTGATAACGTGGCGTGGCATGTCCTAGTGTTATTTAGGTCATAGCTCGGGGGCGCTAGGCTTCCAGGATTTTCTGAGGTTCTTGCTATTTTTGAAGAGCCTTACAATACTGTAGTTGAGATTTATCCGGGTACCGGATATTCGCCTGAGCCATCCGGGCGGATTTAGGACAAACCAAATCCGTGATGTGGGCCCGCCCTAGTGAGCCCTGAGAACCCGAGCCGAGAGTGGCTGGACCATATTCGACCGAATTTTCATCCGAGCGGCAGTTCATAATAATTGGAATTACTAAGAAGGAAAAATTAAAATGCATGATTTTGCAGACACCCTAATAAATAGACTGAAAGACCGAAGTGAAGGGAACACGATTGTAAGCGACGGATGATCCTCGCAAGCCCTCGCAAGCTAGAGTCAAGCCGGGCGATCTTGGCCCCGGCATACCCCTTAAGTAGATCATGGATCTGGCGCTTATGCACTCATAAATCTCGGAACCTTGGCACTCCGTCCCGGTCCAGGCTCGGGAGCCGCTGACTCAGCGGACCGACTGCCAGCTGGCGGGCCGAGAATTAAGTTTTGCATTCGCGCCGTTAGAAATTTAGCACATGTCGGGCCTGAAACTAAGTCCGATACGTGAGGTGATGATTCATCGATCCACCATGTCAAGGCTGAATCCAATAATAGTTAATAGTTGCAGTTCATCCGCCTCCGGACCCACATACATTAAAAGGGGAGTTAACATCCCGAAATGGCCGGACCATGTGCGAACCAGACATTTAAATATTGTTTCTTCCCCCCTCTTTGATTGTTTTAAGTGCCTCGTTTCAAACTTGCTCTCTCTCTTCATCTACCCCTCCTTGTAAAACCACTGCGTCATCATGGCGTCGGATACAAGCTCCTTCGAGCTGAAGGAAAAACATGGAGGATCTCCACCCAACACCGGCGATCACTCGATCGACACAGAAGACTCCCCTATGACCCTCATCGATGAAGTCGATGTAGAGACCCTCACAAGAATCGCCACCCAACGATCTCGCCGCCAATCGACCTGGGGAGGTGACTCGTTGACCGCCCTAGCCCAACAAGACCCAGCCCTTGATCCCCAATCGGGTAGCTTTGACTTGCGAAAGTGGCTCAAGCTTGCTTTCAAGGATATCAGCCGAGATGGCCCTCAGGGACATAGCTCGGACGTTATTTTCAAGGATCTCAATGTATATGGATCTGGTGCTGCACTGCAGTACCAAGATACTGTTTCATCGACATTGACTGCTCCATTACGCTTGCCCCAGTTGTTCCGTCACTCTAAATCGCCTCAGAGGCGCATTTTGAAAGATTTCAATGGTCTGATGAAGAGTGGCGAGCTATTGCTCGTGCTGGGCCGTCCGGGTGCTGGCTGCAGTACCCTTTTGAAGTCCATTACTGGAGAGCTGCATGGTCTGCAAAAGGATTCCGAAAGTGTCATTCATTACAATGGAATTCCCCAATCTCGCATGATAAAGGAGTTCAAGGGTGAACTAGTATACAACCAGGAGGTAAGATTTGCCCCATACTTCCACTCTCTTGGAATATCAGCTAATGCCCGTCACTATAGGTTGATCGACACTTCCCCCATCTGACCGTTGGTCAAACACTGGAGTTCGCTGCCTCGGCCAGGACTCCCACCCATCGATTCGAAGGCATGTCCCGAGCGGAACACGCCCGGTATGTGGCCGAGATCACAATGGCAGTGTTTGGACTGTCTCACACCTACAACACGCGCGTCGGAGACGACTTCATCCGCGGTGTCTCGGGTGGAGAGCGCAAGCGTGTCAGTATTGCAGAGATGGCTGTGGCTCATGCTCCAATTGCAGCCTGGGATAATTCTACCCGGGGGTTGGACTCAGCCACCGCATTGAAGTTTGTTGAGGCTTTGCGTCTGTCTTCTGATATCACCGGCTCAACCCACGCAGTCGCGGCTTATCAAGCCAGTCAGAGCATCTACGATGTCTTTGATAAGGTGATTGTTCTCTATGAAGGCCATCAAATCTACTTCGGAACCGCTGCCGGGGCCAAGTCATACTTTGAGGAACAGGGTTGGGATTGCCCGGCCCGACAGACCACTGGAGATTTTCTCACCTCAGTGACCAACCCCCAAGAGCGCAAAGCCAAGCCTGGCATGGAAAACCGTGTTCCCCGCACCCCCGAAGACTTCGAAGCGGCATGGCTCAAGTCTCCTCAATACAAGCAACTGCAGGGCGAGATTGCTGATTATGAAGCGAAGAACCCTATGGTCCATGATGCGCCTGCAGCTACTGAACTCCAGGAACGGAAGCGTGGTGCTCAAGCCAATCACACCCGGCCCAAGTCTCCATACATCATCAGTGTTCCCATGCAGATCAAGCTCAATACCGTTCGCGCGTATCAACGACTATGGAACGATGCTGCCTCGACTGTTTCCGTTATCGTCACCAATATCATTATGGCTCTCATCATTGGTTCTGTCTTCTACGGGACAATAGATGCAACTGCCGGCTTCACGTCGAAGGGTGCAACTTTGTTCTTTGCCGTCCTCCTCAACGCCCTTACAGCTATGTCGGAAATCAACAGTCTTTACTCCCAACGCCCTATTGTCGAGAAACATAACTCATTCGCCTTTTATCACCCGTCCACGGAAGCCATTGCTGGTGTCCTTGCTGACATACCAGTGAAATTTGCTTTGGCTGTTGTCTTCAACATCATTCTATACTTCCTGGCTGGTCTGCAGCGTGATGCAGGCAGCTTCTTCCTCTACTTCCTCATCACCTTCGTCATCACGTTTGTTATGAGTGCAGTCTTCCGCACACTGGCAGCTGTCACGAAGACAATCTCGCAGGCAATGGGTCTGGCAGGAGTTATGATTCTTGCCCTTGTTGTCTACACCGGTTTCGTCCTCCCTGTTCCGTCCATGCATCCATGGTTCGAATGGATCCATTACCTCAACCCTATCTACTATGCCTTCGAAATCCTGATTGCGAATGAGTTCCACGGTCGCGATTTCCCTTGCTCGAGCTTCGTGCCCTTCTATGCCGACTTGTCGGGTAGCGCATTCAGTTGCTCTGCAGCTGGTTCGGAGCCTGGCTCGTTGACTGTCAATGGTGACCGCTACATCCAACTGAACTACTCCTACAGCTACAGTCACGTCTGGCGAAACTTCGGTATCCTGATAGCATTCTTGGTCGGCTTCATGCTCATCTACTTTGTCGCTTGCGAGTTGAACTCCTCCACCACAAGCACCGCTGAGGCCCTTGTCTTTCGTCGCGGTCATGCGCCTCCCAGCATGCAGGACAACAAGAAGTCCGGATCTGATGTGGAAAACAACCAGAACCCAGTTGTGGCCGAGCGTACTACAACGTCTGATGACAAGGGCATGGGCGCCATTCAACCTCAGACTGATATCTTCACTTGGCGCGACGTGTCCTACGACATCGAGATCAAGGGTGAACCTCGCCGACTTTTGGACAATGTTTCTGGATGGGTCAAGCCCGGAACTCTCACTGCCCTAATGGGTGTCAGTGGCGCCGGTAAGACCACTTTGCTCGATGTCTTAGCCCACCGGACTTCCATGGGTGTCATTACCGGTGATATGTTTGTCAATGGTACTGGCCTCGATGACAGTTTCCAGCGGAAGACTGGCTATGTCCAGCAGCAGGATCTTCACCTTGACACTGCTACTGTACGCGAATCTCTTCGTTTCAGTGCTATGCTGCGTCAGCCTGCTTCGGTCTCGATCAAGGAGAAGTACGATTACGTCGAGGATGTCATTAGAATGCTGAAAATGGAGGAGTTTGCGGAAGCCATTGTTGGTGTTCCTGGCGAGGGTCTGAATGTCGAGCAGCGCAAGCTGTTGACTATCGGTGTTGAGTTGGCTGCGAAGCCCAAGCTGCTTCTTTTCTTGGATGAGCCTACCAGGTGAGTTTATCTTGATGCGCATTCCCATTTGATGTGCCAGTAACTGACGTTCTTTCCAGTGGTCTCGACTCTCAGAGCTCTTGGGCTATCTGTGCATTCCTTCGCAAGCTTGCCGAGCATGGTCAGGCTGTCCTCTGCACTATCCATCAGCCCAGTGCTATGCTCTTCCAGCAATTCGATCAGCTACTGTTCCTCGCCCGTGGTGGTAAGACCGTATACTTCGGTCCAGTGGGAGACAACTCTAGCACCATGCTTGAGTACTTCGAGTCAAACGGCGCACGTAAGTGTGCGGATGATGAGAACCCTGCGGAGTACATGCTGGGTATCGTGAATGCCGGCAAGAACGATCAGGGCCAGGATTGGTTCGACGTGTGGAAGCAGAGCGACGAAAGCAAAGGAGTTCAGACTGAGATCAACCGTATCCACGAAGAAAAGAAGGCCAAGTCGGATTCTTCTGAGGAGGACGACTCTGCCCAGAGTCACGCTGAATTTGCCATGCCTTTCTGGTTCCAGCTCTACCTCGTCACATGCCGTGTGTTCCAGCAATACTGGCGCATGCCTTCTTACGTTCTGGCCAAATGGGGTCTCGGTATTGCCTCTGGTCTCTTCATCGGTTTCTCCTTCTACCAAGCCAAGTCATCCCTCCAGGGAATGCAGACAATCATTTACTCGTTGTTCATGATCTGTACTATTTTCTCGTCATTGGCGCAACAGATCATGCCCGTATTTGTGACCCAGAGATCCCTCTACGAGGGCCGTGA